TTTTTTTTTTTTTTTAACTTGGGAATGATGTATTTTTAACTGTACCATACTATGCATGTAATTCCTAATTTACAAAACAAATAAAATTTCCAATAAACCCTTTTATGTATTTACATAACAAGAAAAGAGTAATTAGGAAATTAATAAGCGTAAAAAGATCATTGAGCATTTTCTTTCCATTCCCCAATTAACAGGTGATGAACTGATCAGTCAGTTTATTAATTATTCAACACCACACAAGAAAAGGGCAACACAATCAACTAGTTAACAATTCCATTATAATTTCATGAAATTAAATTCCAAAATGCATGAAAAAAAAAAAAAACTATTACCTTCAAGATCGATTTTCGCACGACAAGCTCCCAATTCGCCCGCAGGCTGAAAAAGCTCGTTCTTCCAAAATGCTTTCATTTGATTGTCGAATAACAATCCCCGGGAAACTTTAAATTCCTCCGCGAAACTCGATTTTTTCCCTCCACAAAACCCAAACAACATCTCGTCGTACATTTGCTTTGAAGAGGATGACGACGAATAATATTCTTGATGGTTTATACTATTAAGTCGAGAAGCCCTTTTAGCATACATTTTGGACCTTTCTCGGCATTTTCTGGCCATGATCACGTGCCAGTGGTTCTTGACGGCATTATCCGTTCTTCCCGGGAAAAGTCGAGCTATTATGGCCCACCGGTTTCCGTGAATCCGGTGGCAGGCCAGGAGGCGTTCTTCCTCTTCCTCGGTAAACGGGCTCCGATTGATCCTCGGGTCTAACTGATTGAACCATCTTAACCTACAGCTTTTTCCTGATTGAGATATGTGTGTTCACAAATAGTTCAAGTAATGCAGTTTGAGAAATAAAAATCAACAGTATTAATGGAAGTTTGTTTTCATATTGTAATTTATTACAACATAGCTAGGGTTTGTGTAGTATTAATAGTATTAATTCCTAAAAAAATTTACCTCAACAATGAAGTTGCACCAAATAAATTAAACTATTTACCTTTTGGTATGGTATGTTTAATTAATTATTACACAAGGACCATGTACCAAAATATATGAAGATACTTATATAATACTATGGTTAGGTTAGACGTATATACATACTTTACATATACATGAGATAATTTACATTAATTTACCTATATGAGGAGAAACTTATTTTAAAGTTAGGATATATCATATGGATATATGAAACCCTAAAACCGTGCAAGTGACATAGGAGCTAGCTAGTACATGTGTTTAATTTCTACATGATGATCATCTCTTTGAATAATCACATGCATACATATATGGTGTGTCTGTATATATTGAAAGCCGGAGTTTATTCGAATCAAATCCCACATGTATCGTTCGAGAGTTTCAACAACATATATGTAGTACTTAAACCAATATATATATATAAATTCGTATAGATTAGACACACACCAATGAAATGGTTGCAAAGTATATAAAGAGATATATTAATATACCTGATCTACCGTGTAGCTTCTCGGCTATGGCGTTCCAATTATGAGGTCCATATCTTTCCACTAATTCACGAAGCTTCTCATCCTCCGCCGGCCTCCAATGGCCTCTACTGCACATGATCTCTCACTTCACCTATGTATACAAACACGACGTTTCTTTATTATTTATATATATGCAATTCAGCTCGATATGATCGACACACCAAACCCTAAATCCAAGAATCTCTCTCTCTCTCTCTCTCAATATCTTCTTGATTCCTCAACTCAATCTGATAAAGAAACAATCAAGAGTCATATAGGGCTTTACAACTAGCAAAAGAAAGCAACTTAGCTAGAGGAAAGCTAAAACTAATAAATGATTTCAAAAAAAAAAAAAAGTAAAACTTGAAAAATCAAAGGAAAAAAAGTAAGTAAAAAAAGGAAGTTTCAAATATGGCTTGCTGCGGAGAAGAAGATGATGATCTTGAAAAGAGGGGCTAATTATAACTAGAAATCAACTACATATACACATACACACATATATAACTATAAAGAGAGAGGAGAGAGGAGAGTTAGATAAACAAGTGTTTTCCGTTAGAGAGAGAGTGGGAGGGATTTGGACAGAGCAGCACCACCCATTGATGCAACATCTAGGCTAACAAACCCCCACTAGCTAATTCATTCCCAATTTATTATTATTATTATTATTATTATTATTATACCTTCTCTTCACAACCTACTGCGTGTCTTTGTGCTTTTGTGTGTGTATTATGTATATATACACACATTAACTATACGTACACATACCATGTGTATCTATCTGTCTCTTTGTCTATCTCTCTATGTGTAGAGATTGTAGAGAGAGAGAGAGAGGGAGAGAGAGTTTTAAGGACAGGAATTAAGGAAAATTAAGGTTGCTTGGTGGGGTTAAATAATGTCGTTCTCCTTTCACCATCTGCTACACAAAATAATTCTAACCTATAATACCCACCAAAGCCCTTTTTGTCTTTATTTTTAATTTCTATCTTCACCTTATTAATTAATTAACATCTGCATGCAACACATCAAAAATGGAAATATAAATTAATTATAATATTGGGATGATTAAATTTGAAGAGTTAATTTTGTCTTAGTTACGTACGATATATAATATATGTGTACATTTGTCCAGTAACTTTGGATTTGTTTCCAACCTAAATTTGAAGCCCTAATAATGTTTGTGTGTGTGTGTGTGTGTGTGTTGTGTGCATGCATTGATTATTATTATTAAAAGTTGTTTGGTATTGTTGATTTGTTGTTAGAGATAATTATTAATAATTAGTTATGCTGAAAGGATACGTCGTAATTAATTAATTAGGTTTTTGGATTAGGTCTTGATCAGCTTTCCATGGCCTAACTGACCAAGAAAACCAATTAATATTATCCCGAAATCGTGCATGCGTGCAAATTAATAATTAATTAATAGGGCTTAATATGTAAAAATTTTATATGCGTATACGATCGACATTTGTTTTGTTTTTCTATTTTACGTATAAGTTAATCTAGCAACATTAGTTTACCAACTAATTAACTTGTTGTTGAATTATATTATATGTAGTGTTGACAAAATATAGATGGTCATTTTGGAAAAATTTGAAAAATAGTACTAGTAACAAATTTTTGTCATATGTATTTTTGGTAAACCAGTCGGTAAATATATATAAATTCTTGAACGAGGCGTCCTAAAGTTTAGGTGGGTCAAATGGAGTTGGAAGAGTCATTGTTGACAATTCTCCTGACATATGCTAATAATAGACTAGATCAAAATGACTCAATTAAATTCTAGCGTTTCTTCTATTAGTGAAGTTTCTAAAAAAAATATATATATCAAACGACGCAATGCACCTTGGGTCGCTACGAAACAGTCTATTTGTATAATTACAAAGATAAAGTCTGCGTACAATTGACCCCCAAACTTCAACCAATTGGGAATATACTGGGTATGTTGTTGTTGTTGTTGTTGTTGTCGTCGTATTATAATATATTATACTTTTACGTATGACATTCCAGTTTAATAATATGCATATTTATTAAACAAATATGGCAGTCTAACTATTAAACATTAATCTCTATTACTGTAGATTAATTCATGGAAAGCTGAATCAGTGGAGCTTAATTTTTATTGTATTATAAGCTTCATATAACTTTTCATTTTAATTCATGATCATAATTAGTTTTTAATTAATAAATGTCACGGGAGATGAACCTTAAATGTGTTCCATACACATAATTTTCAGTTGGTAAAACATAAAGATCGGTAGGGGTAACATTCCTAGCTAACCAATATTTCTCTCCATATTATTATTATTATTATTATTATTATTATTATTATTATTATTGGAGCACAAAATTAAAACACTCAATATGAAAAATGATTACGCCTTATTGACAGACAATCAATGATTAAAAGTTAATTAGCGGACTTGTATTAATTATTTATTTGTAAAAAACGTAGTAATTAATTACCTTGTACTCTCTATTTCTCGTATAGCTTAATTAAAATTAAAAAAAAATAAATGTTATATTTCAACTACCTTTCAACTTTTTAATATGAAATCATCATAATCTAACATTATAATTAGTTAATGAATGAATATATTGACTAATAACTACTACATAATAATGATTTTTTAGGAATTTAATTAGTTATATATCTATCTATCTATGTGCACGCGCGCACACACACACATACATGCCAAACCGAATTCCTAACAAAATGACAAATCAACAGATTTTAGCAGTTATCTATCTTTTCCGCCGCGTGCACTTATAACAAACTTACCAAATAACCTTCTCCTTATTATTATGAAATTAAAACTGCAATATCTAAAGCTAATTATTAGATATATATATATACTTGATGAATCCAGAAAGATAATATGCTTTTCATTAATTAATACACTGTTATTTAATTTATTTCACATATTATATATTATTGGAGTTAAAATCAAATTAATGAACTAATTATATTATTCATCACAGCAATTAATTATACTATGGTTTATAATCAGTTGATATCTCCACATCTGATAACAATGTTAGGGCAGCTGAAGTAGAGTGAAATCAAATGGGTCGATCGAGTTCAATAATAACTTTCACACTTAAGGTAAAACTGTAATATCATTTTAATTATTATAAAGCTTGTTTAATATATATATATATATATCTTCATCTTGTTTAAATTTGTTGCATTTTACCAACATGGATTGACTCAAGTGGTAATCAGCTTGATGTCGCTTAAGCAAAGTCTCGAGTTCGAGTCCTTGTGAATGCAGAAAACCCTTGTTGAGAGACTCACCCACCACTGCTTGGTGTGCGACCCGGGTCGACCAACGGATTAGTCGGGGCATAGCTCCGGATACCGTGGCTGGCTAAAAAAAAAATTGTTGCATTTTAATTAATCAAGAGATAATTAATACGTATTAGTATAACCATTTGTAAAGGACGTTATAACTAATTTTGTTACTGCAGGTGAATTGTCGTACCTACATATAACTGCAGAGAGGGTAGATTTATTAGTTCTTAACATCCGAAAAAGACTGCCAAAACAGAAGCTTTTTCAACGGGAAGTAAGACTTGTTTTTGACTGTTGGCCTACTACCATTCTCCATTACTTCATTTAATTCAAATTATTTATAAACCATAATTTAATTTTTTTTTAAAAAAAATTCTTGTAATTAACTTGAAGTAATGTGCAGGTACAAGACAACTTGAAGTAATATTGCAACAAGATTTACACTAACAAAAATTCTAACTTAACAAGATACAGTCAGCTTTTTGTCTGAATACAAACAAAATATTCTTTCACAAATTCTTGTGTAAAATGATTCTTTACTAAGGACATTACTTAATACTACAAAATACTCGCCTATATATCTATCGTGGACAACTAACCACATGTCAAAATCTCGTAATCTTCAAATACTATATATGTCAAATTCTCGTTATCTTTAAATACTATACCCGTCGCATATGATATGGTAATCTCATGTCACATTAATTAGTAAGTATGGATATATTAACTCGTGTCCACCGAGCACGAGACTCATTACTTAGTATGACTCCATTATATACAACTACAAGTACTGCTTCTAAAGACTTGTGGACTGTTCACCAGCTTTACCAACTACATTTCCACCAATACAGTAAATACCAATTTTTATCCTGTGTAATATATTATCTTAAAAAGATAGCCCAGTCCAAATTTACCCCAAAAAAGTTATCAACCATTGGCAAATCAAGACTTATCTGGTCCTTCCTCCCAGAAATGGGGGGTTAAAAAAAAAAAGAAAAGAAAAAAGAAAAATGCAAGACTTGTGTATAAACACAGAAAACAGGTATACATTCAGGTGAACAATTCAGAACTTATACCCCAATGACCCACCCAAAGAATATTCTATAAATAGCAAAAAGTTCCTGTGCAAGAATCTAAATGAACAAGATTTCATTTTTTTTTAAAGAAAAAAAAAGCTAAATGCAAGTTATCTTATTTTCATTTCCATCTCAACTGATTTGACCCATTAGCACACCCATAAAATGATTTCTGAGTCAAGAAGTAACCTGAAACTTCTCAACTGCAGCACCACACGAAAGCAAACAGCCGAACCATCCGAACGGGAAACCATTTAGGATTTCTAACAAACAAAATGCTAGTGCACAACTACCCGATCGACCTAATGACATGATATTACATTCGGCATTTCTGTTTCGTAAAACTGTGTTCCTGTAACAATACTGTCAATATCAAAGTCTCATAATAGGAAAAAAGGCTTTGCGCATGTTTTCAGCCGCTTTCTCATCTTCATTACGGTGCAAAAACATCATAATAAGTACCTTTCATGGGGATTTTAGCAACAGGGGAAATAATTAATTACAACGTAACAAAAGGAAAGGTACTTTGAGTACAGCTTACTTTTTGGGCTTATGGATTAGTAGGTACAAGACAAGGATGGAAAAGATGTCCATGTTTACCTATGAACAGTTGGAACACATTCTAGTTTAAATACTAACAATTGATGGAATATTACACCTTTGTGCTGCTACTTAACCTATTAATAATACATCTCCCTATATTTGGTTTAAGGGTAGTGTTTTTTTCCTTTAAGAAATAACCTAAGGAAGATTTGGCCTTATTAATATTATTATTATTATGGAACTACAAAACTTCAGTGCTTTTGGGATATAAACCGAAGTTTTTATTTTTGAAGTTTTCCTGCTCAGTAACTATTTCCTATTTTCTTGCAGTTATACAAAGACAAAGTCAAGATATTAGCTACAGATACATTATCAACAATGGGAAAAGTAAATATACAAATTAACTATAGCGCATACGATTCACAATATATTGCAGTGTGAAAATTACCTTTGATATTTAAAATGAGATAATGGGTAGATAAAATGAACCCAAAGCCATACCTTTCGGCTGAAGTGTTGAATATCACTTCTATCTCACAAGTCCATGATGATTGTCACAGTTTGCTCACATTTGAAATGTGACTGATTTGTAGTATAGATTTGCCATCAGCAGCAACATTCACTTCGAGACGAAAAATAAGAGGTGAAAATAAGATTCTTCACTTTTACTCAAGAGAGAAAGGCCACTAACAGATTACAAATTTCCGTTTTCCAATCAAAATATTCCACCAGAGCTTGATGACTACTCATTTTGTGACACTTAATTTTCCACAAATATGCCAAGAAGTCCAGTCCAGTGCTCTAGGGATCATGATCTCAGCCTTTTTTTGCAGTCAAACATTGAATGATTGCGCCAAACAGAATATGAAGCGAAGCAACTAAACCACTTGACATATTTTAAGAGCAATGGGAAATATAAGGGGATTTTTAGCATGAAATAATTGACGGTTTCAAGTGCTACGTTGAAATATCAGAAAATGTTATAAATATCACAGCACAAAGTGGTCGACCATCATACTTTTTCAACAAAAATGCATACTTATGCTATGGAATGTCATACTTTTGTTTATATTTTTTTGGTAAAGAATGACATTTCAGTTTGAAAGTATGTACATCTGTTGAAAAAGTATGGATGTTGTAGCTTTACTGTTCTCAAAACATATGTTTTACTGTTCATGCAAAAAGCTGTAATTTTCGCACATCTCAATCTTGTTTATACGTTGTTCGGATCATTCAAGTGCTTACAGTGATGAAAAAACCGCACAAAAAGAATATTTTTCTCGATTATCACTGTCCATAGACAGATTAGTATATCCCTATTTTTAATATCTCAATGATTAATCAGTTTTTCTGAACCCGTCATATACGTATTCTGGGAAGACACTCATGAACCTAATCGAACAATAAGAACCATCCAGGTCTTGGAAAATTCAGATATATTTCGTTAACTCCAACTATGTTCTCCCCACGATCAGTTATATATACTTAAAGTTTGTACTCCTCTTATTTGCTAAGACCAATATTCATCTTATTTGCTAAGACCAATATTCGTCTTATTTGCTAAGACCAAGATTTGCTTGTTTCAAGAGCAGGTGTTTATCCAGGATTTTGCACTTATATATTATGGAGTTCTGTATCTAACAACACAGCCTCTCAGAAGCACAATTCAGAACCTATCTGAATTGGCTTCGACTCCATAACACGGACCTTTGCGTAAGACCCAACATTTGATTTCGATTTACTCGAATGTTCTAAATGAGCTCAAATTTTTTATTATAATATAATGTTCATAGAATTGCAACTGAAAATTAGTGGTGTCACACGACAATAATAAATAATGTAGTATTTCTCAAGGAAAACAGAAACAAAATAAATTTGCTTCGGGACATAATACAACAGGATCATAACTCATAAGTTCAAGAGCAAATCTCTCTAATTTTATCTCTAGTATTCTAGTGTTTGTTAGCATGGTAGCCTTCTCGTGTTGCTTTACAACTTCAATTTTTCTAAAGAACACATATAATGTGCATTCCATCTCTGGTGTATGTACTTACACAGCTGACAGTTCAACTTCCTGAGAGCAAGGCCGATATGCAACAAAAGTGAAGTCGTTTGAGAAAGAACCGGGGTTAAAGCACGTGATTCCTGTATACTTGAATGCCTTCTGCTCACTTTTATCTCCTAATACTATCTGCATAGAGTTGACCCAAACAAAAAACAACACAACAACAATAAAATCATTATGCTTTTTATCAATTCTTATTTTTTTTCTTTTTCCGAATTGGAAGTACGAAAAAGAACCTTACCGTATGCGGAGTTGGATATAAATGAAGGCAGTGATCAAAATTCCAGATGATTGGCTGTACACTCAAAGGCAGAGGGCACAGATGGCTTTGATGTGTTATAGTAGCAACAAGCTGCATAAATAAAATAATGATTTAAGTGTACATCGACCTTCGACAATTATTCCAGCGGTTTAAACCAAATTATGGATCTGTATACGGAAAGACTCACATGCTCAAAAGGATCACTTGTTTCTTCAGCTGAAGGAGGCATCAGACATGATCTGCGCATTCTGTAAAGCATGTCTTGACGGAAAAATACAATTTCTTGGGTATAATATTTAATTCTGGTTTTGGATACAAAAGATTTCTCTGTTAACCAATAATAAAACTTAAAATTAAAAAATAATTATAAACAACACACACACACACACACAATCATGGGCACACAGCACTAATTAGGCTACTAGAGATTTTATTTGACAAATATTCAGTAAAACTGACCTGCAAGGATTACTTAAAAACACTGCATTTGGAATGTGACTTTCAAGCTCTTCGATAATGTATTTTGGTAGTGAGCATCTAGGCAGAGCATTTGAAGGTCCTGGATATCAAGAATATTTCTTAGTGACACATGATGAATACACGTATCAAAGAAATAACAGCAAGTATTCAACTCAAATTACCTATATCATCAGGACCAGGAATAAACAGAAATCTGCTGTTATCTTTAAGACGCTGATGAGATGCTATTATTTTTCCAAGCTTCCCAAACTGAGATCTGTAAGCAACACTTTCCACCATTATATTTTCTCCATTTCCCACTATAATAATGAAGAAAACGGCAAAGATAGAGAGAAAGAGGAAAAAAAGAGAGATAGAGAGTATATTACCTGATGCTTGAGTAAGAACTAAAAGAAAGGTTACATGGATGAGAACAGAAGTTTCCCATGAAAACAAACAGAGATGGAACGACATTTTCATTCTCATAACCACCGAGGATCATCTCGAGTTTATCCATGGTCTTCATCAATGAATGAGAATGAAGAATCAGTATATCGTTTTTGTAAGAAGAAATGGAAAAAGATCACACAATCAAGCAGTGGTGGTCGGGAATGATTACCTCCTCGCTGTCCAGCCAAATATCAGAGAGTATCACAAACATGTCGTTGACAGCCCCTCTTTCCATCTCTGCAAGTCTAAGCTGTAAGAAGTGTCAAGGAATACTCAATTAATGTTTCATTTGTAAGCTTTCAGAAGTTCAATGTTGTAATATTTTCGAAGGATACAGTCTCTTCTTTGGTAAGTGAACCACCACCAAAAAAATCAATCCCAGAAAATGTCGAAACTGACTTCTCCCGGTCCTCTAATGGTGGAAATCCACATGTTTTCACCTGCAGTGACAGTAAGTCAGAAAATATACATAACACATGTATCACCAGATGATATAGGTTTATGTTTCTTTAGTTACAATATAAAACAGTACAAGCCCATGAAAGATACTGAAGAAAATGAGTTTTCGAGAAAAATATAGCAATAGGCTTCTTCTTCCCGGTGTAAGTAGTGTATCAGGGGGTCAACCTGATTCAGCAAATATTATTAAAGACTAACAGAACATGTTAAAGGTTCTTAATTCTTTGTTAATCAGACCT